ACACCCTGTATGTTGCCATTGGTGAATAATTTTAGAACTTTTTCACACTTTATTGGTATTTTGACTAAAGAGGATTTTTACCAATACAAGATACAAGGAATTTTTGAGAATTTTTGTTCTTTGATTATCGTTTCATTCCTTTGTGTTTAAGACGACAGATGCATAAGACTCCGCCGAAGAGATGTTGCCGAAGTACATTTTTGGAAAAATTTGTGTGAGAGAAATATCACAAGGAAAGAACACAGAAAAATTGAAGAAGCATATGAAGTTTTGTGAAGTGTTTGAAAATTCTTAGCGTTAAAAAAATATAGAAATCAATCCAGGAATCCAATATGTGAAAATTGTGCTTTTTCATTGATTTGCTATACTTCGCGAATATCATGAATATCGTTCTTGACTCTACTGCTATTATGTTACATACAAAAATTAGATCGGCTTTAAAAACTTCCTCGGAAAAGCTCCTGCTCAATATGTTGAGGAGTATCGGTTTTACATGACTAGTGATGTTCTCACAATATCTTTTGTCAAACTTTCTTTCATCTTTTTGCTCTTCCACATCTTCTCCAGCATTCTTCCACATATCTGATGCAGAATCATAAAACACGCAAAGAATATTGGAAAGACGATGCTTTGCAAGTGAAATTTCTGCGAGTCCAGTTAATTAGTAAGTCCCAGCTGAAGTCATCCTCATTGTGTGATTCTACGCACACTTTTTCGAGAAAATCCAATTTGAAGCATTTTTTGGAGTTTTGTGCGTTCAGAATACGTCAAGGCTTCGGAGCGAAGTAGGTGATGCAATTACTTTCATTTGTGAGAAAAAGCGTAATTGCTAGAGGATCCCTAGACAGTTGGATGTCGTAGAAATTACACAAATTGCCGAAGGCAGAAGGAATGCAAAAGTGCCCCAACGAAACATAAATTTCGTGCATTGAGAAGTGTTTAAAATAAAAGTAACCATTGCTCACTGCTTCATTCTTCATTTTTTTCCTCTTCTTGCATTTTTTTTCGTCAAGGTTGGAATTCAGGTCATAAAAATCCACGGCTGGCTTTGAGGTTTGTAAGCCGCAGAAAGATTTTTTTGCTTTTCGTCCTCTGAATGTAAAATCTTTTTTGTAAGATCCACCATGTCCCGGAGAGAAAACCCTTCATTGCTTTTCGCAATTCTATTCGACAAGCTATTCAATTTTCTAAGTGCACCACATGAGTCGACTGCCCTTTTTTGCGAAATTGAGTATTTCCATCATATGAGGCCCCTTATGAAATCATTATACAAGTGTATGTGTACCTGAAAAAGGCAGTGGAACTTTGGAGCACCTAGCAGGTGCAAACATGGCTGAGTGGTCTAGTGGTATGATTCTCGCTTAGGGTGCGAGAGGTCCCGGGATCGATCCCCGGCTCAGCCCGATTTTTGGCCAAGTATGGTAGACATCAGTACCACTGCTACGCAGTAATTGTCCTGGCAAATAATTAATACTTATCATCTCAAACAGATGCAATTGTAGCACTTTTGGGGTAAACAATGAAGAAAAGGAAGAAATTGGAAAAGGTGGATTTCTCATAGTTATTCAGTCCCTTCTCTGAACTGCTGTACTCCGGTTTTTATAAAAAATATTCTCTCCTTTCCATATTATATGCATCCTTTACATTTTACTGGGGGTTTTTTTAATGAAAGTGTCTACTGCAATTTTAACCGCATATCCAAATGTTTCGTGTTTTCCGATCTGTATTATAGAATTTCCGTAGCAAAAAAAAGCACCATATACATTTGGTTTTGGCCAAGCATGTTTTCGAATCTGTTCTCCTTGAGCTAGAAATCTTTATGAGTTTAAGCCCAACACTTAATCTTCGCATTATTGATGAAAATACAGTTGAAGTAATTCAGAGAAAGCAATTTCTATATTCTTGCAAAAATCTTGCACTAGACATGAAGAATTTTTGAAGACAGAAAATGAGAAGCAGGAAGGGTTTTTCAGAAGAGGAGCTATACAGGATATGAAGTCGGATACTTTCACGATAGGCTGTTTCGTCGTGAAGCACAAAGCTTTCTACTTCCTCCTTTCTCTTTACTTCACTTTCTTTTATCCCACGTTTTCTTCATAAAATTATCGCGTAAAGTTGACCAACAGATATTGTTACCTCCCTACAGTACTCAAAAAGACTAGGGGGCACAATCTTGTGTTTTTTCATAACTTCCCAGATCTCCTTGGTTTTTGATATAGTTTTAACATTGGGATAACATCAAGGGTTTGTATTTTTTGCGGGAGGAAAGCTCTGAGCCCTTTGAAAAAAATTTTTTCAACCCATTGCAACTGCTAACGTCGAGGTAGTTTCTTATGCTTTTTTGAAATTTTTAAATCCGTTCAGCACGCAATACTTATCTACAAAATCTTGCATGTTCACACATTTCGCTAAATTAATTTAATATCTATTCAAAAATACCGTAAACAGCACTTTTCGGAACCTTTAAATTTTCAAATACCTTTTAGTCGATGAGTTTGCCAACCCCAGATCTATAATACTATGAAATAGGTAAAGCTGCCCCCCCCCCGAATGATTTTCTGCCCCTTCTGATCATTGAACCTCCCTGCGCGCCCATGCTGGAATTGAGGCAATGTCATCTACTCGGATTAAGCGAATTTGTCTGCCGTATGCAGCTCGACCAAACCACATTGCTAAAGTAATCAAGCCAATTTTGGCCCCACTGCCTCGCTAATTCATCTTCTCGAAGTATTTGCGTCACACTACGGTCTTCCTCTTTGGGCGTCTGTCATGGCCAGAATCGCTTTTTACACTAATGACGTGGGCATGGGTTCTGTTCCCCTTTTGCTGCTGCTTCGATCCATTATGAGCTCATGCATAATTTATAGCTTCCGTTTTCACTTCACTCTTTGATCGTAAGTGGTAAAAAGCTAGGCCAAGCAGAAAGTATAAAATTACGCCTTTTTTGAGGCTAGAATTTCATATTTCCTTCTTTTTGTATTCACATCTCATATTTCTAGTTGATACTAATTTTGCCCGGTCCTTTTTTCTCTCCTTAGTGTGGGTGTTAGTTTTGATAACATTTTCTCAACCTAGAATGGTTGTTATCATACAATAGTTCCAAAAATTTCTCATTTTTCTTTTTTGAATAAATGGCTATGGGGAAGTTCTGTAGTAATGTGTAAGTCATAATAATAATAAACACATAGCGCTAGTAAAAAATTCTGCTCGAAACAGCTAAGTTACATTCAATGGTGCTTATTCCCATAGTTAAAAACTATGGGAATAAGCAAAATACTCCCAAAATCTGAATCTAAACACCTTTTTGAAAATTCAAACATAACAAGATTTAAGTGTAAAAATTCATTTCCACCAATGTGCAAATATATGTTGCTATTTACTGAAGCTACATGGGTGTTTAAACGTTTTTTTACCAAACTTCATGACTGCTAACGAATTCAGCACTATTTTTCCATGGTTTTTTGCTCACTGTGCTGGAGTTTCACGCTTGGTCTGGCTGATAGCTTCGCATTCATTCTAGTGTAAAATTGCACGATTTTTTCACTTGCTCTTCGTACCTATAAGATATCTCCTTTTCCGTTTTAAGCTAATAGGTAGTACTAGAATACCCACTTAATTTGACCGAGTAAGCAACTCAATATCCTTACCTCAAGGTGTTCGGTCTCATTTGTTGTGCTTAAAACTCATGGTATCGTCCTACCTTTGACTCCATTCTGCTGCATTATTACCCTTGCTCTCTACGTCAAAAAAATCATAAAAGACTAACACTTGCTTTGTATGACAGTTCATGATTGCCCGCTGAAAGTTCTTAAGAATTCATGACTCTTATAAAATCAAACGACAGCTAGCAATCTCGGCTTGATGGAATACAATCAGCAATGAATAATTATTACATTTGCTGAGCCCCTGTCATGTCCCCTTTATTGCAAGTTTTCCATGCCTGCTCGAGTGTTGAGCACAAATCGGAGGAATTTTCCGAAGTGGCGAGTGTATGCCTTCTTTTGCCTCTTCTTCACTGTGCCTTTTTGAAAGTGGTAAAGTACTTCTTCACCACTCTTAAGAAGAGTGCAAAAAAGTGAGTGCAAAAAAGTGATTGCTTAACAGTTGTTCGCATGCTTTTCGTGGAGATGTGATTTGCATCGCTGTAGTGAGCTTTTTTTTTGAAGAAACAAATTGCCACTTTCAATCCTATTCAACGTATCCAGACGTTAGTTTTGAACTGAGCCTTCTCGCTTCCAATCATGGTTTGTTTTACATATGAGTGTGTTAAACGCTGACAAATGCGAAAACTATTAGTTTAAAAGCTGGTTTTAGAACATAAAATCATTTTACGATTACAAGGTTTAGTTAGCACTATTTCAAACCAGCTGTCTCAGTGATTTGCAATTAAACGCTGAAATCAACTCTGAAAACCAAAACCCTTTATTTACTCCATATTCACTCAATTATCGTTGGGTACATATCCTCTAAGGTCTGAAAATCTCGGCAAATTATCGTCTTCAGCAGCGATGATAACTGAGACAGAATCGAAAATTCAGCTTTTGATTTAGAAAATGTTGTGGTGGAAAAACAGACGTGATGATGCTATCCTAATATAGTAAGTGATTATAAATCAGCCTAGAGATTGTAAGAATACATTGGTATGCATATACATTGAATTTTTACAACATAACCACCCATTCTTTCTTATTTTTAGCACTGCATCATAATTTCTTGACATGTGTGTCAAAAAATTCGTGGTTTAGGCTGTCACGGAAAATACTATGACGGAAAAGCAATCGACTCATTTTCAATTGTTGGCTGCAACATTTTCATTACGCGAGTTCATCGCACCAGATGAGCCCTAAAAACGATATTTGAAATCTATGCCTTGTCCCGCTGGGGTATCGGAATCTATGGTCTTCCGGTTAATTTGCTCTGCATTTCAATTTACGTTTCGCATAGCCCGCTATTCATTCGCCACTGCATCCTTCCGAATAACTCGATTAGCGCTGAATTAAGATCTGGAAACCATAAATAGCCATAAAGAAGAGCAGCCAGAGTGATCGCTATGCTCAGCGACTCTAGATGGACTTCTTCGACGTGCGTAAATTGACTGCTGGCCAACCAAAAGATCTTGTTGCTACCAGTGATGGTGAAAATCTTTCGAACAAATTTTTCACTTTCATTTGAATGCAAATCTAATGATAACCTTGTTCAGACTACTCAGCAGTTGCATTTCTACCCGTCGTAATGATCGCTGCTGTAGTTCTAGGCATCTGTGGTGTGTGCCAGTATAAGAAATGGAGACACGAGCGAAAACAGGTAAGTGAGCTCTTAACCGTTCCAAGAATCAAGAAAAAAGAGCCATTTCTATTGCAGATTGCTTATCTCAACCATTTCTACGAAATCCTTGAAGACCATCAATGCGATCATGGTGGAAAAATGGTGCTACTTCAACAAAACGGGTGTGATGAGGTGAGCTAGCTTATTTTGACTTCAGTGCCTAAGAGCAAGGTGAAAGTAGTGGAAAAGGTTTGCTTTGAAAGGATTTCCCAAAATAGCAGCAAGTTTCGAGAGATCTAGGTTTATGTCTAATTTATAATTGAAAATATAGCCACAGAAGCTATGAATAGAGCCTAAAACGAGAAATCTGCTCTACAAAAATGACAGTGCCCATGCTTCGTACACCTCAGTTTTGTTCAACTCCTATAATCTGATGCGCGGAGAAAAATTAGCAGCTCCTGCTCGAAATTAGTCTTTGGTGTAATAACAGCAAGGAATTAATCCTTGGCGTTATGTAAATAAGATATAATAGAATTCGCTGTGTATAAAGTCTTTGTGACCCTTCTTTTGATGCTCTTTTGAAAATTAGCTCAAGCATAAGCTGGGCGCATAGTTTTGAGGACGAACCTGCTCCCTACTTCTTGATATCCTTATATACCCTATGGTTCACAGTCTTATTAGATTGGTGCAAAAATAATGGGCGTTTTGCGAGTTTCCAATTTGATCTACTATAACTTTCTAGAAATTCTACATCTCACATTGCTATAAAGACCCTCAGAAGCAGCAAGCCTTTCGCAACGCTGCGCACTTACGCATACTAACATCCTAAACGGGCAGAAAATTATGGATTGAAAAAACAATATTTCTTTTTTGAAATCTTGTCATAGCTCCCCTTAAAGCTTGTTATTATAAATGGTAAATCGTTATCTTGTAGGCAAGCCAATATTAAAAATAAGAACGAAAATTGGACGAAGAAGATTTTTAAGAAGGGAGAAATCAAAAAGCAAAATTAACATCTTTTTTGCAATATTTTTTCGTATGCAGCAAAATCCCATATGGAGTTTTTCATTTTCTGCGCTAAACATTTTTGCAAAAAAAAACTGCCAAAAGGAAGTCTTTACGCCTACAGAAATAAGCGAAGTTCTGTGATTGCTTTCTTCAATAGAAATCCATGAACCACAGAATTAACGCACGCAATGCCTACCCATGTTGAGGTGTCGATACCTCAGCTTAAATATCTCAAAAATTATGTCTAAGTGTGCGTAATGTAGATAATTTCTTTCAAATGAATGTCATCATTCGCACATGAATTCTGGCAAAAAAAGTAAATGCAGTGAAATTCTGGGTCCAGGTGCGGTTATGTAAAGCTCAGTAAAATTTAATAAATGAATGAGCATGTTATAGTCACTATTAGATAAATCATGAAAAGAGCTTTTCAACAGTATGCTAAATTTAAGTCAAAGAAGGAAATTAGACGAAAAGAGGCTGTCCTGAAAGAAAGCCCAGGAAACGCTCATTACTTCTGAGCCAACCTAATATTCACCCTTTCGAACAGCAAATAATACGCTCCTGTTATCTCTGTAAATGTTGATTGCAATAATGGAATCAGTTTTTCTCCTCTTTTTCTGCTTTCGTCACTGTGCTTTCATTACTTTCTCGAGTGTCCTTTTACATTCTGAACAAAATGCAGTGGGACGTCCGCTATGTAAGAATAGCAGGAACTATTTATTTCGTACTGTCTACCTCATTCTCGTACAATCAGCCGCAAAGAATTCTCATTTTTTAGGCTGAGATGCTAAATCACTTGCAATATCGCTTACAACACTCATTAGAGATAGGCCCGTAGTAAACCTCCGTCAGGGCATGTCCCCTGAAGGGGATCGGGGTCGATTTCTCGGCCCCCAGTCCAGCATACGGCGAGCTATCGATCTGGGTGCTGATCGTTTTGCAGACATGACAAAAGTTCCCAAGGTAGAAATAGCAGCAGTGTTTGTGCGGGTATGGCCAAGTGGATAAGGACTGCGAGGCAACATAGACGGTCATGGTTCGAGATTGCTTAGCGGAGTCATTTTTGCTGCATCGGCGCGCAATTATTGATAGGGATCACCAATGAAAAAAAATCGATGGTGACCGCTATCAAGAAACTCGCCTAGCCAATAAATGGAGAGAACAATTTCATGGTATTTTAGCGCAAATTTTCATTGGAAAAACACATTTTTGGAACAGAAAGACAACGAGATGAGCAAATAAATATTCATTCATTGCAGCATTCAAGAAATAAGGCAAATCCCGCGAAAAAAAGATTAAAAAACTTGATTTTCCGTCTTGCCTGCGAAGAGCTGATCATCGATTCTTTTCCTCCGCAGGTCCCCCAAATATGTGCAATTTCGCGCACTCTCGTCTGCATTATTAGGCGTCTTGAGGCGTATTGTAAGTTACTCAAGAGCAATTTACGAGGATTTTCTCTGCGTTTCCTCTTTAGCACACTATTTCTGGACATCATCGCTCATATCATCTCTCATGACCCGGCAGGGAGATCATCTCCCTGCCGAACTTCACCTGAGGCTCACCTCTCAGGTGACGTTGCATCCCTATAGCATGGGGAAATGGGCGGTCGTCATTTTACTGACAGAACCTCACATGAAGGTCTCAGGGGAGATCATCTCCCATGACCGAGCTTTACTACGGGCCATAGACTTTTGAAGTTGTGAGAGACTAATCATGTCTGCCTTTATGAATTCTGAATAGCTGGATACACCTTTCAGAGCAGTTCATTATGTAAGTGCAAATATCCTGGATCTTATTACATAACGAACTATCCTAGGTAACTTGATCGTTTGGATAGGCAAAAATTTCGACAAAAAGATGGCGCGGCCAAGTACATGAGTAATTAAATACTGCGAGTTCAAAATACAAAACCTGTCCAACAATTCCAGAAATTTTTTTTGGTTAAAAAGCGCTTCATTCCATCTTGCCTATGACATGTGAGACATTATGCGCGTGGGTGGGTTTGCTTATGGTACAGGTAGCCAACTGACATAAAGGCTGCTGTCGAAAGACTGAATCCAGGAGGGCAAACGTGGTTCAATGGGCCGCAGAGCCATGAGGCGGAGGGTTTACCCTCTGTCTCAACTGAAGTAAGCCCGACTCAAGCGGCTCGGCTCCCGCGCAGCCGGCTCGCCTGTGTGCATGGCCATAAAAAAACTAGGCATTCTTTTCCAGACAGAAACTCGTACATGCCTCTACTTGAGATGAGCTATATATGGGTCTCGAAAGCGAAACTTATTTTGTTTTCTTAGTGGTCTGGTAGTGAAGGCAACTAATGTGATTTCGCATTCGAAGTAGATGCCCCTCAGCAGCGTTTCCGGTGACAAAAACACATTGTGGTTGGGCAAAAAGTCTTGATGGATGAAAAACGGGCGCAACCATGTTTTTTCAGCTTGGCTTCAGTTACTAAAGTTGTCGATTTTCTTTTCCCTAACTTTTCAACGCGTGCGACGAGCTTGGCCTTGCGCGGGTGCAATTGATGGCACTACCCCTCTTTCAGAGTTATCATTTGCGTCCAGAATTGCCGTGTGCCGGTGCCGTGCGAGTCCTGCTCCAGCGTCGTACTAACGCCCGGAGCTGTCGTGGATGTACTGCGTAGATCTATAGAAACTTCCGGTGGTTCAACATAGCTTCGGCATGGCGTTAGCACGGCGCTGGCACATGATCTGGACGCAGCCTTAGGTCAAACGAAGTCTAGGGTGTAGATTACATCAGACTTGACAGTGCATCGGTTATCAATTGATTTAAATATTTTTGGGTTAGCACTTAAACAGCTTTAATCGTGAGTTACAAAGATTGCTGTAAGAGAGGAGATTTTTTGAAGAAGGTACTTCCCCAGCGGAAATGCTGCGAAGTGCTGCGGAAGTTCCGCTCAGTTGCCTGAGTGATATTGAACACAGGGGATATAGGTGCTAAAATCTGCCTGATCACTGCCTTTAACATTCTATCTCTGGAAACAACACTTTGTTGTAAGGCTTTGGATGTTCCTTAGTCAGGGCCCCTGTCATTGAACAACCGCTTGTGCTACAGAACATCTGAGCGCATCCGTTGTATCTTCACTGAAACATCTGATAAAACTCAAAATTTAAGGGCTCAATGATAAAACTCAAAATTTACAGGCTCAAATGTGTCATGATGATCGTCTTCGCCGTGCGATGCTTGTGCCACCACCAGACTCGTCACCATTCTTTCAACCGGGTAGCCGAACGCGGTCGGCTCGTTTCGATCCACCACAGAAAGCCACTTCTGCCACTGAGGTTTGGTTTCAAACTCACAATCAGTATCAAATATACGAAGAAGAGGGTTTGATAAATAAGGAGGCGGCCTCAGGATCTTCGTTCGAGAGGGGGGGGGAGGCTATAGAAGTTTTTTTCGATGAAGCTGCGTGGCGTTAGCCAAGTGCTCCCAAAGTTTTTGCGGACCCATAACTCCGTAATTTTGGAAGAAGGATGCGCATGAATGCCCCAAAGGAATTATTTACAAGGCCAAATAGAATTTTGGGCGGGTAAGTTCCTCAAAAATTTTGGGACCCATTCTCCTCCCCTCCCTCCCCCCCCCCCCCCCTCCGTCCTTCGCTACGCCACTGGCATGGTAGTATTTTATTTTTCAGTAGAAAGTATGTAAATCTTCGCGAGTATTGATAAATAATAGATAGATAATCGGTAAATTATAAATTATCACAAAGTCATTGAATTCATAGCAAGTAACCAATCTGCAGTCCTTGTGCAAAAAGTTTATCCGGTAGAGACTTGGTTGAAGATTTTGAATGAAATGGAGCAGGCCGGTAGCGATGGAGCGCGACAATTAGACCTTAGTTAGTTTGTCTTAGATGGCGCCGTGCTCTATCGCTAACGGCCTGCTCTCGAACAGTCAGCAGTTTGAATGACTAGCTCTACAGATTGGAATTAGCTAAAATCCTCCTTTCGCAGAGGCATTCAAAGATTAAGTATTAAGAATATAAACGCTTTGATTCAACGGCATTGACGGCGTGACCGCTCGCAACCGCAACGCAGTCTGTCTCTCTTTCGTGAGCTGCTATGTGATCATTCCCTAGCCTCAATTAGGTCTCGAAGCTCCACCCTTCCGCCGTCAATCCCGTTGAATCAAAGGGTAGTGCGTTTGTGGTTAATTGTGCAAAGATGATATCCTCGTTTTCAGGTGATCTTTCACTTTACCAACTTGAGTGCGCAAAGTCGAAAAATCTCAATGGAAAACCTATCCGAAAGCGAGATCGAGTATATTGTATGAGCGTGGACGGAAACAAGGATTGCGACCGACCGTGGGTGGAACGGCACATCAAAAGAAGTCTGCCGTTACAGACACATACAGAAACTCTGAATGAGCATTCAAGGCTAAAGCTCACTGCCAATGTATTCCTTGCTTTGAGGCCTCATTCCAGGCTTGGTGAGACAGCAGTCGCTGCCGTTTATGAGATTCCCCATACTGGATGATTGCATTTGTCACTTCTTAGCACATTCACTTTGTTACCGCACTTATTATTTTCGTTGTTATAGCTTGTTTCATTTGTTCTTGGTACGCAAAAGTGCCTTCGATAAATTATTGACGATTGACCTTCTTTATTTTTCCATAAAATCTGAGCTTCGGTTTCCTCAAAGGTTCTCAAAGGACTTTGATTCCTTGGAAAGCATGTGAAATCTCTGAATCATGAAGTCAGTAATCTAGAGATGAGTTTGGATTGTAAAAAGGTTGCTAGCCCGGAACAAAAAATTATACTGGCGTTTTTTGAGACAGAACTGATTTTGAACAAAGTGGATTAGCCAGAAATGCTTAACTTCGACTGATTTTCAAGATTTTAGTTTCAGGTAAAAAAAAGAAACTCAACGAAAATCAGATAGATATAACGGTCAGAGTCGCTAATTCTGAATTTTGAATTTGCACTTACAGTAATTCTCATCTGTAAATTACTAGTTGTTCCCGGTCCAGCCGGGACCATTGTTCACTAGCTGTGAGACAGATGCTGTAGGCCTAAGGCATACCTCACGTGATTTTAGTCGCCGCGCGATTTGGCACTGCAACGACTCTCCATAGCTGGTCGTAAACGCACTTTGCTTGGGCCAGACTTGCTGTTTTGTTACAATTTACGGAATCTACGCACCCATGCATCTGAGAGCATCGCATGCTTAATCTTCACACATCTGGGAAATCGCCAAGTCGCGAGGATGTGGCGATTTCGCGAAATCGCGAGAGTTATGCCTTAGGCCATAAGTTGTCAACAAGTTTACTACACTGCGAATCCTTCCCTCCCCTTCATGTTATGGATGACTTACCCTGGGATATCCACTTCGATACCGCGTCCTCGTGATCCTGAGGTGGAAATGAGATTTACTGCTCTCGTTTACATGCTCTGGGAGAATACTTGGTTAACATGATACCTTCATTTCCTCAGAAAAACGTAATTAAATCTAATCGATAGAATGATCTAACGAATCGTTGTAAGAAGTAGCCTATCATCCGCGCAGGATTTGAAAACATTATGTACAATTCAGCTCGATTGGTTGAGCGGCGCTCGTTTCTATAACGCACATACCCTCCAAACTGACAATTTTGAGTTTTATCTATATTTAAAATAGATGCTAGGCAATCGTAACAAATGTTTTCTAAGTGTTGTAAGGACGTGGCTACACCAGTTAAAATTTGAAAAGCATATAGAGTTAATTAGTGAAGCCAGCGATGCGAAAGCCGTGCTGCACGGATTTACAACTGCACTGCACCAAGCTAGAAGATTTTCTATAGCAGTTTATAGTAGGCGCGTAAACAAAAACTGAATAGAATTGTCTTAAGTACACAAGGGCACTTTAAAACCCTCGCTAGATAACCAGGTTGAGTTGTTTTACCATCTTCCCAGTAACGACCCGCATAAGCCTGCAGGCCAGCGTATCGTTCTGTCCCACATCTCAAGGTGGACCATGAGCTACGCAGTGTCGTACAAGGATGCTTTCATTGTTGCCAGATACGTTGTTTGTTACTTCACCCTACACATGTAACCTGCTTTTAAGAGATATCGCTGGTGATTTCTATATGGCAGGCGAATTCAGCCACTGGTTATTGTTACAAGAGCTTTTCAAAAGTGAAGATTCAGCAGAAATATCTTTTCAGAAACAATTTTAGACGGAGCACTTTGCGATAATTATATGACAGAAGAGAGACTCGATACGCATATTTTAATCATGGCTGCCTCTGCAATACCTAGGATTCATCAAGAAATTTATGCAGCAGTGCAGCCTCGCTTACCAACGACGTTGTCGGCAAATTACATGGACGCTATAGAGCCACTATCAAAATTCTCCCTGCATGGGCAACGGAGTAGTCAATGGTCTTAAAACTTCCCGAAAGATTTTCTACGGAGACCGTCATCAATGCGGAAGGCTATCTAAAATACAAGGGACCACGCAGTGGGGAAGTTTAGTACATATCACTGCTTATGACCGTTACCTGCTGTTGTTCTCGAATGCGCACACCAATGATGAAATATGTGGATACTCTCAAAAACCAAAGATATCTGTACAAATATGTCTCTTAGAAACCGGTCATTGTCTTCTGCAAAGCGATGTTCACACATGAAAACAAAGCACATTTCGACTCTCGTTACTGTTTTATAGAATGGGGAAGATGTGAGGCGATGTGAGGCGCCGCTACGACCAGGTCGGACTAGAGTTCGATTCCGCCGCTGGATCAACCAAGCCCTCTATCCGCCAGGAAAATTGGTATGCTTGACTTGTCGATCCACGTTTTATCCACTAATATCAAATATCAACTTCAAGAGCATTTCATCTTTGTAAAGGGAAGAAAAAACGAAAAGTAGGTGGCAGAGAAAACCGCCAATTAGATGTTTATATATAAATGGCTGACCTAAGCAAACAGAAAATCCAGTCTGCCCATCCTCTTTCCACAAAGAAAAATATGCAATCTTCTGAGGATCTGTGCACCATTGCAGCTATATCCCAACTTAACAGCAGTTGCACGTCTTCTTGGCGTACTTATCACGAAACTCACAATGCACATTGCTTAAACGGAGCAACGAAATTTCGGATGCCGGCTGAATTGCTTGCATTGTTTGCTTTATGTTAGCGTTCTACTACACTGGTGACTTTCTACGTCCTTAAAGGCAGCGTCCAGGCAAATGGCAAATTTGGGCCTATGGGGACCTCACTTGGAGGGTAATCTTGGAGCCCTAACTAAAACACTGGCCAAGTGGCAGCTCAAATGATGAGCTCACAGTTGAGTTATTCGCCTCCAAACTGGACCCCGTGACCGTACTCGCATGGATTCATGGCGCGACACATCAGTTTCGCGCGACGACCCACATGTGTCGCGCCATGAATCCGTGTGAATACGATCCCGGGGTCCAATTTGGAGGCGAACATCTCAACTGTAAATCCACCATTTGAGCTCCCGTTTGGGCAGTGTCTTAGTTAGTGCCCTAAAATTACTTACCACATCAGAACTCCGTATGTCCAGATTTGCCTGGACGCTGCCTTTGAAGGCAGTGGCTCGGCAAATCCTCGAACTGAATTTTTTCGCTTAATTGAGGTAATTTGACGCGCGCGCTGATTTCGAAAATACACTTTGAAGAGCACGAAAAGTCAAAAACCAGCATTTTCCAATGGTTCTCATTTTGGAATTGGACGAGTGGACCAATCCCCTCCATGGTTAGAGACGCAGAGTCGTTGCGGGACCCACACCTTTATAGCACTGCGACATGCCGCCTCTGACGTTGGGAAGGGGACCGTAAGCTCGTCCGAACGCGTGTAAGAATGGCTATGCGCGCACGGGCTTAGGGGCTGTTTTCTAGGCAGGGGCAGCCTGTTGTGCGCTCGGACTTGCTCTGTTCTGATGTTCGGGACGCAAGCAACCTTCTATATCAAAATTTCGAGATGTTTAGTTTTGCCGAACCACTGCCTTTAAAGCTTCAGAACTGCGAGAATCTTGTTTACAGCGCTTATTACGAAATGTCTGGTAACTTAGAATTTGCAATATGACCTTTCACAGAATGTTGGTTCTCTACTGGAAAACCTTCCAGAACCCTTCGATGAAACCAATCGCGGCCATAAATGCGATAGGGGGAGCAGGCTTCCCTCCAAGTGAAGAGGGTTTTGGCTATTTCTGACCTAGAAAAGTGAAGTGGGTAACTGGGCCTGAGATGAATGCTGGTACGATTCTTGTCAGTAAACATGCATCCATCACTAGCTAGTTCAGATTTTCTACTCTTGCTCAACTCTTTCTTGCGAAAGTGTGTATTCATTGATACAATGTTGATTACACAGAGAGAATCAGACATCCTTCTAATTTTTGATTATGTTTCGTTATTAACGCCACTTTGAGTGAGCAGAAGGTCTCAAGCATGCGTTTTTTTTTCAACAAAACGCTGTTGCTTCGATACTTTCTTCAGTCTTGATGTCTGAGGAAAAGAGCAGCTGGCGTTTCCTTCCAAACAAAAAGTGCCATTATAGCTGTTTTATTCTGCCTTGACCCTAATTTCAACCTCAGGTGAAAGGGGTCAGCCAGATGCCAGCCGTAAAGTAAAGGGAGTCAGAGAAATTTATCCGCCTATCGCACCAATGGTCGCGGCTATTACTGTTGGAAGGTAAGGAAAACGTTTGAAATTCTTGATCACCGTAAGCGTTTTGCAGCTAACAACGTTGGCATCATCTATGTTGGTCATTGTTAATATCATGCTGGCGGACAAGGTAATGAAAACCTTAGAGTGTCATATACCACATCTTGAATGACAGTCTTAGTCAGTATTCTGTGTAACATGAACGGAATGCTGCGATTTTGCTGCCAAAAAGAAGAAACTCCAGCTCCACTTTCAAACTCAAATGCAGTTTAAAAATCGAGGCTAGGAAAGCGTTGACCTTCTATATATCGATGTGCAATTTAGCGTCGTTAGAGAAAAGATTATTCTCGGAGGTAATTTTCTACAAGTTTGCTTCTAGATGTAGATTTGATTGCTATGACTGACTCCACGTTGTCTTGCCTTTTATTATCAACAAAGGGACGGAAAGGCAGAAGAAGAAGTTGAAAGTTGTGTAGAATCTCCACAAATCATTGTTTATGCTCTTCCGATTTGTGTCATAATGAAGAGCTCTTCCAAGAAGTGTAAGGAGATCGGATTTCCGACAATACTCTCCTTAAGCACACCATATTAACATGGTGATGTTGATTTTGTCGGTCGCATCAATGAAGGGGCATTGAAAACGCATGTGAAGTAAATAAGTTTCAAAGTGCAGACGAAGTTACAAGCGATGTGTACAGTGGATGAAACTAGAATTTCCGTATTGTTCGACGCCTGTAGGACCTCCTAGTCACATTCTACGACTAAAGAAAGGTGCGAGTGAAATGCTCAGGAGTAGACGACAGAGAGGGTTTCTGCAGCAAAACTTGCTTATAGAAACTTGTACATCCTGTCATTCTCATCTCCAGATTGGAAATGATCGCGAAATAGTGAACTTTGGGAAGGAATCAAAGCATAAATGAAGGCTCTGCACATCGATGACGGTAACTACAGCTTTATTAGAAGTTGCGCACAAGGGCTATCAATTGTTCGATAAACACAAATGACAGTTTATGCACAGCTACAGAGAATGGTCACAAACTTTCCATACATCGTCCACAGTGTAGAACGATGAAAATGGAACATCAATATGATAAACCTGAAAAAACTTAATTTACAGTCAGAAATTCTCAGTGGAACGATGTGAAGTTTCGTGATTTCGTGATTGGCTCCAGTAACGTTTCAATCTTTAATAGCAACATAGACGATGTGTATACCCGTCAAGAGTGTGCAGAAGCTGCCACAAAAACGTGCTAGTCAAGAATACTATCCAGCGGTTAGTGAAGAATGGACAAATAAAATCATAACATACAAAAGCCATCAAGAACAACCCGTTCTGAGAAAGTGTCTAAATACAAGCTCGCATCATTTCCTGATTAAGACATTGACTGACTTGAAATAAGTCTGCAGCTTTGCTGAGATGAGCCTAATGCATGCCTGTTTATACAATCTAATTTCCATGCGCTGCCTCCTTTGAATACTATTGAGCGGAAGCACACCTATACTCTGGGAGCTCATTATCTGAAATGTATGATGTGATGCAGTCATAAGCTATAGAAATGGGCAGCATTTAACGCAAACCTTATTCATTTTTTTGAATTTTATAATAACAACAGCATCGAAAAGGAATGTGATAGTTACAATCAACACGTTGAACCTAGCGATGTAAGAGATAGCTATTCCACAATTAGAACTGGCAAATTTCCACTCCCAACTGCTGGCCGAGTAATATACATAGCAGGAACCTAAACAGACAGTCACTGTATCTAACCTAAGGTAGTGTCATTGTACTCACTCCAGAAATTTGAAATGGTGTGACAGAAACTAATGCACCAAATAAAAAGCACCATACAGAGTGACTTCTGATTTGTCAAAATGTCGCCTGCTTTTAACGGCCATGTAATTGCTATTAAACGATTGATTGAAATAGCCATGTGTGAGTAGACAGTTGCGTACCAAAAAACCGTGCTCAAATGTCCCACAATTTTACCGATAATTCGGTAGCTTGTTTCATTTTGCCTTAAAAATCTCAATAATTTATAACTAGATTCGGATTGACATAGCCTCACCACAGCGTCGAAGGCGCGACCCAGGATAGATAAACAAGCAGGACTCCCAAGCCGGCAGAGGCATGGGAGGAACACAGTATGCAGAAAGGGTTCTGTCGTACTGTCTTACATTGTACAGAGATGATAGCAAGAGAATTTGAAATTATTCCAAGTACGCACATCTGAAAGACAACATATTAGAACCGTTTTAAGAGCGTCTGCCAAAGCATTCTTCACCAGCTAATCTATCCGGTTGTCCCTGCTAATTATCGTATGTTAGACCGTCGATTCTTTGACCGCACGGACTGAACGTCACGCGCCACGAGATCAAACACTTACCCGTACAAGTTCGCTATCGTACAAGTCGTGCTCTCGCAACAGTTCAACCGCGTGTGTCCGCAACGTGAGCAGTCCGTGCCAGGGTATGGCACAGACGCTCATAAGCAAGCTGGATATCGTTTTTGGGACAGAAGGCAAAGGTGTATCGTTTTTGTAAGTCCGATATTAGGTTTTTAGTAGACGTATTTTTTTCAGTTGATTCGGATATTTCGGGTTAGGGGCAAAGAAGACTTTGTAGAATTTTGCGAAATTAAGGAGAGACTTCGTTTTTTGCATTTTTGGAAAGTCACTCCGTGCGGGGCCTAGTCCGTGCGGTCTCGAAAGTGCTTACACAACGGCAAAACAAATGTCGGTTACCCAACCCATTTAGTCTTTCTAGCCTCTGTTTACAAAAAGCAAAATAGATCAATTAATATGAGCTATCTATAATTTTGTCGGTGTAATACGCCCACCCGCCGATGTCCCATATCCATTCCGCCCCAAAGAGTTTATGATGCAAATTTAGTTTCAATTCGCAAAAAAATAACTTTTAACTGAAGTGCACAAGTATGATTCTGCACATACTGCAATGAACAACGTTATATAAGGTTGCACAATTAAGAACAAACTCGTGGCAATGACTGCGTTCAAAGCTAATATTCTATTCGGATAACTTGGGAATAACATTTGAGAAATTCAGAATTTTGTTATGACGGGTAAAATTTTGTCAAGTGCAAAGGGTGGACTTTCTGGACTCTTTATACAAGCATAACATTATGACAAATATATTCATCGTAAAAAGAAAAAAGGAAAACCGATTAAGCATAGCTCATCTGGAGTTATCGGGTACTGCCTGGTGTGTCTTTGTCTGAATGTCTATCTATATGTCTATATTCATGTTCCAAATAGATATTTTTATTTCTGAACTAATCTAAACCATACTTTGCACAATTACACTTTGGGGCGGGACGGGTGTCGTAGGCCAATTTCGCCATCGGTCGACATCGACTTCAACAAATCTTACCGATTTTTGCCAAGTTTCAGCTACGGGCTAGAAGTTGGAACAGGGATAACCTATCACATCATGTGGCAAGGATAAACCGAGTTTCGCATAAAACACATTGCTTTGGCACATTATGACAGAATATAAAAAGTTTTTGCCTCCGCCTTCGCTCTATCGAATGGTATTCCACACAAACGCTTCTGGAATTGGCCTTGTTGCGATACTACGGCAACGAAATAAAAATTAACACTTTTCTTTTCAACCTAATATACAGGGTGTCCCCAAAAGTATGTAAGCATTGTTTAATCGTTAATGTTTCTTTTCCCAAGAGTGTTTTGACTACCTTCAGATGTCATTCTGTAAAGGCGGCTTCAACCTAATTTACTTCATGGAGCGGATTTTTGGTCGCTTTCTTACTGAAGGATCACGGTGGAAAATTTCGTCATACGTATCATTGTGAAAAGGACCGTTCAGATAGGTAGGTTTTCAGGCATGCTCACTTTGCATAAACTTTTACGAGTTTTCAGGCTTTTTTAAAGGTGTAATCACACTTCCGAGAAATATGAATAGGTAAATTTTTTTATACCTCGCATAACTCATGAATGAAGTAATGCAATGAAATGGTTTAATATTTGGATTCAGCAGCTTTGAGTAGCCTGGTGTGGAAGTTTTCAAGTTGTTTGGTTTTCTCTTGAGGCCTGTGGCCTTTACGCCTTAAAACCCTCATCAAAGGTTATACAGCAACACTACTGCATGAATGGCCCCATAGTAAGTCTAATGTAAGTTTCAGCCAGCTCTACAGAGTAGTAAATGAAGTTAGGCACAAGAATTTTTGGAAGGAGATGTATTAACGATTGTATACATACTTTTGGTACACCCAGCATTTCAGAGCATTCACTCAAGTTCCTTAGAAAAGCCAGAAGCTTTTTGAAAAGCTTGAGTAATATTTAAGAATTGGTAATAATAGACAGCTGCAAACCTTATTATTTGAACCCCTTAAAGAATAAATATTGCTAACAAGAGAATGTTCAGAATTCGAAGTGGCCAATTCAAGCAAGCTGCATATCATAACATGCAGCTTAAAATGCTGACTCTAAGGCCCGTATGCACGTACGTCTTCGCTGGGGAGGGGGAGGGTAGCTGGATCCCCAGCGGAACGATCCCCTCCGCCGAACCCCGCCATGACAGAGGGGAGGGGAGCGATCCCTTCCCTGCACCTAAGCGGGGATGGTGTGAATGGTTTCAGAGGTATTGATCGAGCGAACCCCAGTGCATACGGGGTTCGAATGGGGGAGGGGATCCCTTCCCCTCCCCCACTCGAACTCCGTATGCGCGAATTCAACTCAACAACGCGGGGAAGGGGATCTACATCCCCTACAGAGAAGTAGGGGTTCGATGGTGTAGGTCAAGCCAGAGAAGCAAGTATTCTGATTTGAATCAATTATTATAGAGCATTTCGTTCAAATTGTTAAAGGATTTTCCATGGTAGTCGGGTTCCTCTCTCAGCGACCTGTAGCTTGCAGCTTTGTCTCTCTCTCCTCTATATTCACTTTTCGTGAAAATCCGGGCATGTATCTGCCAGTTTCGAATATCTGTAGAAGTTTGTGACCATTCATGAGAGTTGCGCATTTTCTATTTGACATGATAATTTTATCTATTAAGGCTGGTACAACATATTGTAACTATCACATTATATAATAAATTTTCTTCATCTTGTTATCCTAACGTAAAAACTGCTTTGAAAAAAATTGAAATTGGCAGACTCGCGTGTTTCTGAGTAAAGATCTTCGGGGGAGTGATCCCCTCCCCAGCGTTCCCCTTGTGCTAGCAGGGATGGCCACTGGGGATCATTCCCCTGGGGTAAAGGACGATATGCAACTGATAGCTACAGCGTTTATGGAGAGCTGGCACAATTTGCAGCTTCTATTATGCGTAGAAATGCTGGTTAGAGTGTGCGCGCCCCCTCCCCCTTTTTTTCAGCAGCATAAAGGTCTTCTATTCGTTTTCTGCAGAGGACATCTGGATTTTTATTGTTGTACATAATTACGCTAAAACAGGCAGCTTGAGCGCAAGTGAAAAGCACCCATGACAATTACAGGACTATATAGGGCCAGGGTCAAGCGTGGGGTGCGGCACGCCACGCTTGACCCTGTATAGGGCCTAGAAAATATTATTTTGGCTGTGCCAAGCGCATAACGGCAGGCGCGCATTCCGCAACACCTATATTATTTGCTGATAACGAAAACTGAAGATAAGCAGGTGTCAAAATATGAGAATACAGAAGAAAATTACCATAGAAAAACGAAAGAAAAGTGATGTCCCCGCTCGATCCTCTTGTGCATAAGAGGGTTCCCTTCCCCTACTCCCAGGGGATCCCTTCGCCGATAACGTCTGCGTGCATACGAGGGTTCGCCTGGGGAGGGGAGGGGAGCCCCAGCGGGGATCATTTCAATGGTAAAAACGCACAATCCCCTCCCCGCGGGGATGTACGTGCATATGGGCCTAAATCTGTCTTTATCTGCAGAGCACTTTTGTGGATGAAGTTATAAGCCGTTGGCCATTATTTTGCCAAGGATTCGTGCGTGTAAAAAGTAAACTTGGTTGTAGCCGTTGCCTTGGTTCAGCACTGGGCCATGTCGGCTCACTCTTGACCAAGGCATGCAACTAGGCCACTTCATATGTCCGTACCTGAAGATGAGCTAAAAAGGCAATAATGTGCCTAGTTTTGCAATTTTTGTGTACAATTTCTTTAGCGCTAAAGCTGCTCATATCTTCGCCTACACAGGCGTTCTCAGATGTGAAAGACAGATTTGAACCAGCGTTCTATGCCGCATCGAAAGGTATGCAGCTTGTTTGGATTGCCCACTTCGACTTCTGACCATATCCTTGTAAGTAGATAGACGGCGAGTAAACGCATTTTTTTTTCGGAGAGCGAGGTAATTGCCAAAGAAGATGCAACTTCATTCTTTCCGAGTGCATTGATTACCACTCGGCAAAAAAGAAGGAAAAAGATTACCATATTTGAGAAGTTTCGCATTCGTCAAGCTTTTCGTGACGATATTAGTCTTGCTCAAATCAAACCACATGATGAGTTTTTGAGTGATATGATGGTAAAACATAAGTCTAATGCACATCCTTATCCTCTCCACAACTTCTTATATCAAAGCATTTGGATGACTCAGGCTTTGATGCTATAAGATAGCTTTAATTTTTCTTAAGCAAGTAAACATGAAGAGAGGAAGGACAGAACTAGACAAAGGCTAGCTAGGAAGCCTTAAGCAAGTAAACATGAAGAGAGGAAGGACAGAACTAGACAAAGGCTAGCTAGGAAGCATACCTCTTATGTACGATCGAGCGAGTAGATAGTGAGGAGAGTTTCTGATTTCTCATGGTTTTCCCGTAAATAATATCATGAGGAGTGACTGGGACAAATATCGCAGTCGTACTTCACTTTCATGGAGGGCTCAGAGCCTGATTCAGTCCTAACATTCACAGGCGCCTTTGGATAAATAGCCATTGTAAAAAGAAGAAGAGAGAATGGCCTTTAGGATTACCCGCTGATGTTGGATCCCGTCCTGATTTCCATAGCAATCGGAAAAATGGCTCCTAAACACTCCCTCGGCAAAAAAAATATAGTGTATTAAATCTAGCAGTGTGTTCATAATAGCGAGAACTTAATCGGGTAAAGTAACACACACTGTCCAACACTTTCTTTTACGGTATAAGAACGCGAAAACTGCATGATACCGAGGCCTAAATATAAAGGATCGATGAACAGTTCACCGCAGCCAAGAAACTAGGAAATTGAAAATGAGTTCATTTTCCTGATCTTATGACTGCAATCAGCTGTTCATCAATCCCCAGAAATTTTTGCTCAGGATCTCAATGGACACTTGAGTTAAATATAACAGCCACAAACTTTGACGGTCAAAGAGTGAAATATTATAATTCTGATTCATCTTTCCGTTACCTAGGCGAAGTCCTTGTTAGCGCCGTCATCGATTTTAAGATAGTGGCCGGTAAGCTTGCAAACATAGCAAAAAGAGGCAGTCTAGCCTAACCGGTCTGGAACCTTGGTTCCTATCCTGAGACGTAACGATTTCACCCATTCGACCAAACCCGCACAAACGCGTTCATCTCTGAGAACGCAAGCATTTTGTCTACAAAGCGATCCGCAACGACGAAGAAGAAACAACTATTGATACTGCGTTGGGGGCTGTAGGTTTAACCAAGGCCAAGCCCCGCTCCAGTTGAGTGTGATGAAGCGGGTTTACTACGGACCGAGTTTTGTATACGCGCTGAGAAAATTAAGAGATTTCTCTAAGGCTGCGTTCATACTGATTCGAAAGTTCGGGAACAGTTTGAACGCAGCCTAAAGGAATAAATTGGGTTATAATTGATTCTATAAACCCTCGATGAAGAAAACAAAATACTGCGAAAAGTGGAGGAGTCATGGCTCCGGAAAATGACGGATTTAGGAAACCACGATTCGTAGAATGCAAAGCTCAAGGATTATGGCTCGAATATTAGAGAAGAAATTGATAAAGTATCATTGAATAGTCAGCAAGTCTTTTGTCCTCTCTTGTTGAAACCTCTGCATAATTGGAATTGTGTTAGTATTGCTTTGCCTGCACGAGGTTTGGGTGAGGGTTTATTAACATCAGTGGCCTAACGTTTCGACTACTCGTCGTCTTCAGAGGCTTAAAGCGGTGGTTTCGACTACTCGTCGTCTTCAGAGGCTTAAAGCGGTGCGGGATTAGTGATCTTAAGTTGTGTCGGAGGCCCAACCGACAGAATAGTTTGGTTCCTGAATAGAATTGTGGGGCAGTTGCTGGACAAGATACCTTCCCATTTAGCAAACACTAAACAATTCCTCGACCGCTTAAAATCCACCAAATTTGAAAATGGTTGCGTGGCTGAATCACTTGACGTGGTATCTTTGTATGCCAACGTTCAAAATGACGACGCTTTACAAGCGGTATCCGAAATGTTGGATGAATTTAGCAAGTTTTCAGACCTTTGGATTGAGCAAACGTCACATCGTGGTACTGATCAAAGAACGTTTGGATTGTAATATCTTTCGATGGTCAGGTACCTACTTCGCTCAACTAAGAGGACTTGCACTGGGACAAAGGCTTGCTCCAGTACTTGTAATATGTTTTATGAGTAAGGTCGAGGAACCCGTCTGTCAAGACTTCCTCTTATGTACTGTCGTTACGTGGACGATTGTTGCATAGTAACATCCACTCAATCCGAAATGGACGAGTGTTTCCTTTGCTCAATCAGCAGTCGCAGTACAAAGATTCACGCGTGAACAGCCGGTTGATGGTTGGCTTCCGTACTTGAACGTTCAAATGAAAGTGTCTGGCTATAGCGCAAACGTTAGTTATCGTAAAAGCAGCTCTAAAAACATCTTGTTACATACTCGTTGGGCACATCCATCGGCCGTCAAAAATGCCGTCATTCGAAATATGATAAGAACAGCAACACAAGTGTGTACGGCAGAAGGACAGAAAGAGTCGCGAAATGTCGCGCTGAGCATTGCGAAAGAAAATGGCTATCTGATGCATCATACTCGTGGTAAGCCATGTTCTTTACGTAACGCTGCTCAGCAGAACAACAAAATAGCGCTCTGTCTTCCTTTCATCTCGGATGAAATTAGTGTTGCAGTACGACAGAGCATTAAACGAGCACAACTGAGCAGCGATGTCATTTTGGTAAACGTTCCGAGCGATAATCTAAAGAAACGGCTTGTATGAAACAGGCTCTATGACAAATACTGTATCTCGAAGGAATGCGTAATTTGTCCTTATAACAGCATCGGAGATTGCGCTAAAACAGGAGTGATATATCGTTAGAGTGTTTAGTTTGTGGTGCTAGTTATATAGAAGAAACCGGAAGAGCAATTGGCGTGAGGATCAAAGAACATCTTGCCAATAAACGTAAGGGTAGTCTGGTTTCTCCTCTCGGGAAACATAAGCATGAACATCACTGCGACCAAGACTACGAAGTCAAATGTACAATTTTGGCATACGAGAAAGATACCTCTGCTCGGAAAGCTCTCGAAGCATTTTGGATCACGCGCAAAACACCGCTTACGAACAACAAAAGCGAGTGCTTAGCCGTTACGAATGACTTCATGCCGTTTTTATCATTATGTGGGCTATGATACGGTAGTGCGATAATTTCATCTACAATATGCCACTAAATGTGACTTATGCCGCAACTGTCATCAAGGATACGGTCGCACCATAACACCAAGTGCACCAGCGGTGAAGCAAAGATGTGTTCGTCTTTCTCATTCTGCGATTTTTGCTTGTTAAGCTCTAGAGGGGATCGAGAAGCTAGCCGAGGGTTGATAAAGCACTTGGTGGGACAGACATAAGATCACTAATCCCGCACCGCTTTAGGCCTCTAAAGACGACGAGTAGTCGAAACGTTAGGCCACTGATGTTAATAAAGCTTCACCCAATCTCGTGCTGGCAAATCAATACTAACACAATATCATTGAAGAGATGGTAAAAAGAAGACATTACCTCCTATAAGAGTGATAAATGAATGCAAAACTCATACTCAGTGCCTAACCCAAAAATATTTGAAGGAAATGGGAATAAGACACGAAAGCCACGTACAAACGCAAAAGATGACAATTGTGCCGGCGGCGGGAGTTGACGAAGATTTGGCTAAAACCTACGCTCTATTTATTCCAAAGAATGATTATTTTAGCAAAAATTGTTCTAAAGATGATTTATTGAGAAATAAGCTACAACATGAAAACAATCCGGGACCTCTACGTGCCCAAGAGGTGCATTCTCTGACTTGATTCCTTCGACCCAGTTGTCTGCTTTATATAAACACACTAGCTGGCTTACCCGGCTCCGCCGTATGTTCCGAATAGAAATTCCATTTCTTAACCGATCCGGACCAACTTGGCACACATACACTTCGGGCCCCGGCGGGTGTCACAGTCCATTTTTCGATATCGATCGATGACGAAAAGTGGCCTATGACACCCGCCGGGGCCCGATGTGTATGTGTGCCAAGTTTGGTCCGGATCGGTTCAGAAATGGAATTTTCTATTCGAAACATACGTACAGACAGACATACAGACAGACATTCAGCTTTATATATAAGATTATGACTGTAATCTTTGTCAGCTGGACATACCGGCACGAATTCATCGCTTCGCGAATTGAAAAGACGTTACATGTCGAATCACGCTCTCCTTTCACTGCACCGGTGCTAGGGGGCTATCGCTGACCTTTTTTGTCACCATACCTAGCTGAGCGAAATCGTCGCGACCTTCGCTCATCCGAACTCGCGTCGCTTACTTGAAGTAAGCGACGCGATAGCATCGCTAGGACTGCGATGCCTTTCTGAAAGTGTTTGTGACCGTTCTTTACTGTTTGAAGCTTGCTTTTTTCTAGGATTCGTAAACTAGTCCAATTTTGCCACAGCGCATTGGTTTATCGTGATCCATTGCTTTCGTTCCTATCTGAACTTTGTCTAGTTCGATTCGTTGCTTGGTTGCTGGCCTGCCTGAAGATTCGATCTGGTATAACGATTCGATCATTAGATCACACCTCATTGACAACTATCGCAACCTCGTCCATATACAAGAAAAGTAAATTCTGATTAAAAAAATGCCTACTGGCAGCAGTTAAAATAGTTCAAACACGTTTAAGTTCAAACATAATCATAGAACAAGTATTGAACGTGATAACTACATGCTTGGCTATTACTTCAAGTTCTGCATCAGAGCGCGAAGAATAGGTCAACCGATGACCGATTATGATTCGTAAAACGTGCGCTGGAGTGTGAGAACACACAAATCGCTGCAGATGTATGCCCGTGTTCGACGACTAACGATTCCGTTGCGCATTTTCGTCGCTAGTTTCTAGCCGATCGCGACGATATCATCGCTTGAGGTACGCCCGCCCTTTTGAGCACACCTCGTTTGAGATTGTCGAGCAATGCAGAGCTGATGATTTCGGTTACATATATAACTTAAGGAAACTAAATGTGCTTACCATGACAATGATGGCTGTAACAGCTACATTTTCGGAAGGCGATGGAAAAGGAGACATTCCCACTGAAATTAGTGATGCTTCGTATAACTTTGTCGGGCGAGCACAGCGATTGAACTAATGTAAAAAGCAGTGAAGACGGTCATTATTGCTGAGTTATATTTCTTATATATAATAACACGTTTTCGGATATCTTTTCATTGCATCCAACAATGAGAGAAAATGAAGTTTTTCAATAGAGAAAAGTTTTATGAGAGTAGTTATTTGCTTTTTGGTTGCAAGTTTATCATAAGCAGGGATGTTTTAGTAATTCTCAGGTCTACTTAGCTCAAAAAAGGACGAGAAAGCAGTGGTGGACTTGTTTGATACTGCACCCATATGTCACATCATATCTTAGGCTTCGAATGTGAATTCGCTATTTTAAACGGGCTTGACATCTCACAGAATATCAATGATTTTCAGAAAGTAACCGAGAGCTACGACCTATGATCTCTCCCATTGTCATGTTTAGCTAATCTCCTAAATCTTTATACCGATTCAGAAGAAGCATAAGTAACGGCTGGAGAAACCGTATAGAATACAATGCTTTTTTTCTTTTTCCATGATCGTAATTGTGATCTCTATCAAAACCACCAAATTCCAGGCAGACCCGTCTCACACACATGAATGCATCAGACACCAACAAACCTTCGGAATTTTTCACGAAAAAATTATAGTTTAATACCTATCTTACAAAGTGAAAAAGCGATCATGTTCGAAATATCAAATTTCGCATTTTTTATATCTTGAGCGCGTTAAGAAACGTAAATCATAATAATTTTACCTTAAAGGCTTTACGTGTAAATCCTTTTTAGAGAGGAGAGAATAAGCTGCATCGAATGATATTCGAATTGCTAACAGCTTGACGTTTTACAAGATTGACTTGATCACGTATGGAAATTAAATTAATACATCAAACAAGTAGTTTGTACTTAAAGAATAGAAATAAAATATTTTGCGTAATAGGGATTGCTCTGTTTGAAGCCTCATCGGAACTTCTTTGGAGGGTCGATATAGAGCTCCAGAAAAATAGCGAAATTTGAAAATGGAAGCGCCATGAGTCGTAATTTTTTGAGAGCTCTTCAGTTTAATAAAAATGCATTATGACATCGGAAAGAAAATAAGAAGTTGTACTGACAGCAATCGAGTGAGTCCGTGTCTTTGATCTGCGGGATATACTTGCCAATTCACTTTTTGGCAAGACCAAATAAAAAGTTTCAAGAATTTGATTATTTACAATCATAAATGAGTCTCATGCAGATTTTTATATGTAAGTAACTCTCCACTGTTATTCTCGATCCGGGCCCTTCTGCGCCGAGTAATTTGGCCTCAAAGTGGCCCGAAAAGCGCGACTTAGCCCGGGCTGACGCTCCCGGCTTCCCCCGTTTTAACGTCCCCCTCCCCCCCCCCCCTCTCCCCCCCCCCCCCCTCCCTCCTCCCCCCCCCCCCCTGTCTTGGCGTCCACTTTTGTGGTGTTGCTGCCACTGTGGCGAATGCTAGGCTGAGAAGGCACAACTCTTACGCGTTGCTTCCGCAGGGCTTTCAAAAGAGGGGTTTTCCTACATTTTGATTGATCTTGGACCCGCATTGAGCTAGACATGTACGAGAAGGCTCGCAATATGCAAAAATCTCGACAAACAAATTTTGATGAGACATTGCCTTCAACTTTCACCGACCGAGTTAAGAGGTACGCCTCAGTTCTTTGGCAATGAAGGGTTTGGATTATAGACGTGTGTAGCTTCGCCTTTTCAACTGATTTGCAAAGAACGTAGATTTAGTGCAACTAAACCGGATTCTTGAACCGACTAACATAGATGATAAATTTAGTATTCATTATTTACATGATTATAGAAACTTCGTTCGTTCTTTGAAAGCTTATTTTGTAAGACTGCGAAGCGTTTAGGAGCTCATAATATCTCTGATCAGATTACGCCTTATGCTTTTACCGTAATGCCGGTGTATTCGATCAACCCCATTTGAAGAAGTCCGAAAACAAACAGAATATTCTATGTTCATAACTTTTCCTTATTAGATTTAGGATTTTCAAACTCTTCAGATCCCGATCAATAATAGCTGCGTTCTCTAACTGCTCCTCTTCAAATTAAAATTTTCTTCATGCCACACTTGTGAATACCATTACCTTGTTGACAACCTCTGCTATAATATACAATGGATTTCTCGAAGCGGTACGGCACGGCTCCTTACCATCTCTCTATCCCACACCCCATACTCGAGATCAGCCATTTGCTGAAGGATTCTCACCAAAGAGAAGACGAAATTATAACGGCTGCCCAATGATGGCGAGGGGAGAGGCCAATAGTCATATACGTTTTTTGCACTGTTATACACGCGCAGGCAATCTTTCATTATAGAGGATTACATAATTGAGTGTTGAAAAAGAATTCAACACTCAATTACGTTGCACTTGCTTTTTTTCCTCACCCTCAGAATGCAATGCTTCTTCCCCTTAATTACTCTTTTTTCCTCATATCTGCAACTCTTGAATGGCATCAGGTGATGTCACTTCAGCACAATACTGCATGAGATCTCATTATTTTACCAATTGTACAAACATATGCGGCATCATTGAACTTCAAACAAACTAGTGACTGATTATTACAACTTATGCCTAAAAACAGTTGCACCGCAAAAACCTCAATTTTTTGGAAACAACGTATAAGTCCGGTTGGGAAGGAAAAGCTTGACGATTCGCGGAGTAGAATTTAGAAGATTAATAGCTTCTGAGTGTAAGTGGAATGCTAAATTGTATTTTCTATCGATAAACTGAGCGTTTAAGCAAGTCTGGTCTTAAAAAAAGGGAAAACCTACTCTCCATAAGTTATAATTCACTTCAGAAAATTCATGAAGAACTCGCGCAACCTAATTTTCCTGTCGATAGACTTAGTATCTAAGCAAATTCTGTCGTGAAGGAAGAAAAAGATAGAAGCATCGTAAGCAAACTCGGTTTGAAGAATCTCTAGGACAAAATTCACAGGAAATGCATTAAGGAAATTTGCTATTGAGAGCATGCTGCATAAATCCCATTTTTCGCTCGAAAAACTGCGTGCATGACAAGTCTGATCTTGCAAAAAGGGAAAATCTGACGTGCAGAGCAATACCCTGCTAGTCACTATCAGTGCGAAAGATGACTGTAGAAAACTCTTTGTTTTCTATCCAAATCAAGCGCATTTTGATAAAAACTTAGTTTGATAGCAATTTTGACCGGTCTTCTTGGCAAGAAAATTAAGAAACGAGAAAGACAATACACTTATGAGAGTAGTCTTGCTTTAAGCTTGTAAAATGATGGAATTTTTCGGTGCCTTGTGAGGGAAGCACTTTTGCGACCTTACAGAATAAGATGTATACGGAAATGCTTGGTCCGGAACGCTAATTTCAAGCGATTCTTCCAAATAAGTTATAAAAGCCTTTGTCCTCAAAAGTGGCGAAGAGTGCATTAATTGAGCGTGGGAGTCAATATATATCAAGATTTTAGGTTGCCCGGAATTTAACGTTGCATTGTGATCTATTTAGGGCCGCATGCAACTTCATCCGAAGCCACGGACAGGTGGATTTCGCGTTGTCTCTCCATCCACAAGCGTTTATACTACCCTTTACTATATAAATCATTCACCACGAGCGAGAAGTTGTACAAGCCGCATTTTTCAGCTTTTTATGACCTCCGCTGATCCCCGGTGGCCGAGGATCTTTTAGTTGAAGTTATTTTGCTTTCCTCGAAGTTAGTGGAAGCATCCCACGCTGTACAGATTATTCAGCCCAACATTTCTATGTATGTTCTTGATAAAAAGGAATGCGCTGTCATGTTGGGTTTAATAAACCCCAGCTAACACTGGTGGGTTAGATAACTAAATGCAACACTGGGATGTTTTTATTGACATCGATGAAAAAAAAGACTTTGAAAGGGGAATGTCAGCCCCCGGAAACTATCAGGGAATCATAGAAAAAGCTGGAGAATGCGGCTTATACAACTTCTTGCTTCTCTTTTTATGTTTATAGTATGGTAGAATTGCAGATGGAGAGACAGTGCAAAATTCAGATGTCTAGAGCCTCAGAATATGAGGAGATTTATTAGGTTGGCACAGAAGTTTCGCAACTTTTCCCGTAACTTTTCTCTTATATTATGTAGCAAGCTCAATTTGTGGCATCGTAGACCGTGATGTAAGCTGCAAGTTTGCGCAAACCGTTTGATTTTTGATAACTAGTACAAAAAATCTAAGCATTTTTTGAAAACTGCTGAAAATCGAGGTTACACGGTTTTTCGGAAAACATGAAGCCCTAGGAAACCTGAATTGAACATATCAAAAAGCGATTACAGGCAGCATGTAGCTAGAAATAGACACATTGGAATCAGTTGAAAAGAAATGAAATTCAAACACAAATCAAGGTGAGGCGCCCTTGAGTAGCTGAACAAGTCGAATGCGTCAAGTTTTGAGGGCAATCTGTCAATGACTAAGCTGCGAAAAGTCAGAATTCGCTATAACTTTGCACTTAAGGTAATCCTATACGGTGAACACGAATATCATAGTCATTTGTCGGTAAAATGAAATTCATTTCTTGATCTCAGGAACGAGGCCTTTTCATGCGAAACGGATCTCATTTTTATGATCAGCATGTTGAATAAACCCTATAGTTTTTGCAAAATCTGAGCATTCTAAAACTTTTCGCATTGTACCGTAAATCTACCGTAATCCTTACGATGGCAAAATTCGACAAAAATGTCTGCATTAGAAGCTTACAACATAATCCTTTATTGCCAAAAAATGAATGCGCTACGTTCAAAGAGACAAAAGTTATATAAAAAGTTGCATTACTTATGTTCCAACCTAATAATTAAAGCTGTTCCCTTCCCTAGCGAAGACGCTTGAGGCCTTCGGTCCATACAATTCTGCAGCATAAAATTGTCGTTCATTCTGAGAGATTGAACCCTAAAATTTTGGTATCATCCATTCTCTGACTAAGAGACACGAGCACGCTTTGCTTACGTCTGACTAACAAGTTTATAAGTGCG